AGGATACATAACTGCTTCTCTTTGTGCATGTCAAGCATACGTGGATGGTGAATTTAGTCGAAGAGATTACAAAGAAGAATCATGGAGCAATTACCATGAAGATCGACATCATGTCTTCTATCAATCTGGAAAAGAATTCGATAGCACATGGACAAAGCAAATATTAAAATGAGGTTTCATTATCTTCTAGAGTATGTGACAGAAGTGAAGCTGAACTTAGAACACTGCAGAACTAAGAATCAGATTGCAGACATCATGACGAAAGCAGTGCAGGCTAAAGTGTTCAAGAAATTAAGGTCTATGATGAATGTAGATAACTTAGACATAATAAATTAGGTGGTTTGTTGAATTATAATTCTTTGTGTCAAAGCAGTATTTTCGACAGAGTCTGTTGTCGTCAAAATGACGTGTGTCAAAATTGTGTGAGTGTTGAAACATCGAAGGCGTATATCTTAACAAGAATTTTAACTTAGGTCTAATTTTGTAGTGTTAACAGAATTAGGTATTTTGGGTTTTTTGTTTTTGGGCTCTACTTAGGGAGCAAGCAAGCTAAATATATAAATAAGTGTGAGTGCATTCTTCCATCTAGTCATGTTTTGAATAATGTCAAAACTAGGATAGTGCTTTAATATTTTTGTATATTGGGCGGTATCAACCAAAGTTTAGATATGCATTGATCATCTTATCCTTAGCATGTATACAAATGGTTTTAAAAATAATTATATGTCTTAGACATGCTACATACATCAAAAGCGAAGTTTTATGTGTGAACATTATTGCATGGGTCGACACACATGACTTCAGGTCGACCTATAGAAGCATTTGCTTCAGTATAGGTCGACACATAGTTGGACATGTCAACCTCCACGCATCAATATTGAAGCTTGTAGGCTTTTCCCAGAGGTCGCCTCACTTAGGTTGACATGAGTACCTTGACAGGCCGGCCTCTTGCTTTCATAGGCCGACCTGTAGGTTTCAAAAACTTAAAATTTGTTTTGCATCTTTTTTTCCATGCATCCTTTTTGCCAAATTCCTCACACGCATATATATATATATATATATATATATATATATATATATATATATATATATATATATATATATATATATATATATATATATATATATATAACATTGATTAGTGTAAGTTGTTCTTCAAATATAACTTGATTTTTCAAATTATTATTTTCTAAATCAATTTGAAAGATTATACGTTCAACGAGGATTTGGTGAAACACACAATCCACATACATTAAAGTAAACTCAATTGTATCTTATATCACTCTATTGTACTCCAGACATGTTGGACTGTATGAAATGAAAGTTGCACATAAAATCAATCGGGGAAATTTAGTTTGCATAAACTAGAGAACAACAATAAAATAACATATATAATATTCCCAACAACAACAACAACATATGACATTCAAAACATTGATAAGTCACAACAATAACAACAACAACAAATTATAATATTCAAAACATTGTTACTCCCTCTGTACCAATTTATTAGTAAAAAAAACACTCTTTTTTTTTTACTACAAAAGCAAAAAACATCAACTTTATTTCATTTAACCATTTTATTGTAAAAAAAGTTATTTTTTTTTAAATAAAATTGATTGCAAATTGCATTTAATTTGGTTTCTCTCATTTTTTCATAAAAAAACAACCAATCAATTTTTTTACATCTTCCTATAAAACATATTCCAAAAAATACACAAAAATTTACTTTTTTAATTAGTGTAAAATATTAGTTTTTTTGCTAGTAAATTAGTACAGAGGAAGTAAATTACAATAGCTAAACAACAACAATATTTATATAACATTCTAAAAACAACAACATATAACATTCAAAACATTGATAAGTCACAACAAAAACAACATATAACATTCAAACATTTTCTAAGTCATATTATAAAAACAACAACATATAACATTCTCAAAAACACAAAAACAATCTCAAACTCAATCTCATTCTCAATTACAACAACATATAAGATTTAAAATTTTGCTAAGTCACAACAACGACGACAACAACAACAACAAATAACACAAAACAACAATCTCAATCTCAACAAAACAATAACAACATCGATAATAAATCTATTACGTACTTATCTCAATAAAAACAACAACATATAACCTTCAATCTCAATTTAAACAACAACAACATTAAAACTCTAGTGTTTAGGGTTTCAATAACAACAGTAGAAATGTTTTACGTACCAGAAATTTGAAAAAGAAGTCAACGAAATTAGTTGGTCTTTTGTTCTTGCAAGTATTGTTCAGAGTTCCACCTTCAAGTTATTTTTTCGTACTCATTGCTTTATATGATTTAGAGAATATATGGACGAAATTTGATCTTGCTTGTTGAAAAACTACTTGGAGAAGACATGATGATGAACAAATGGAGATGATACGATGGTTAAGGAGTTAGAGATGACACATTTTAAAGGATCTCGTTTTTAATGTAGATGATAAATTTCATTAAGACTCAATGTGATTTTCGTAAAGACTGAATGTGATTTTTATAGAGCTAGATAGATCTGAAAATACATGAAAAGATATGCTTATAAAGTAAACCATTTCATTGCGGATGGAAATCACAATCGTAGTCAAAATATATTTAGTTATTTTGATTTGATCAAAGCATCAGTTTTTTAACAATTAAAAAGTAAAGAGTCTAATATTTCACCATCGTTGGACAAACTAACTATAATAAAAATTAATTTATTTTTATTTAAAAATAAAATAAATGAAAAATCGCCACTAAAATATTAAATAAATCAAAAATTTGCTAACACATATATTCAAAGCCAAGAGCACAACAATATTTTTCCACAGGTGATAATTTCAACTGTGACAATGTATAAAATTATTTTTAATTTCAAAATAAATAATATGAAGGCCTCTTTTTTAAATATTGTCACAACGGTCCATTTCACAAACATGGTGAAAACTTCATTATGGAATATTATTTTTTGTATATGGAAAAGTTCATAAAATAAACGGGTAATAAGCCTTTACATTCATTAGTAATAACAATGAAATATGAAGAATTTAGTGGTTGATTATTTATTCCTAGAGTTGTAATGTAATCTCGACTGTAAAAATTGTTGAGTATTTCTCCATTCCATGTGTTATTTTTTTTCAAGTATCTTCCACCCACAAAATAAAAGACAGAAACCAATGATGAAAGTGGAAGCACAAACGTGGTAAGATTGTGACCTAAGTTTCCTTGAGGGGAACAAAATAAGGAGAATTCCAACAAGTAAAAGATGAGAAACATTCAATTTTCCTCTCTTATTGCACAATGTTTATTATCTTGAAAGCAACTTTGAAAACCAAGTTTGAAAAAAGAGAGCACAGATCTGTCATATTGCCAGACCATAGCTTTTGTAATGAACCTAAACCCATAATAGCCTTCTTTAAAAACCTAAGGTCCATTAAAAGCTTTGTACCACCCTATACTCTTATATTAACTACATTCATAGTTAGACACCTCTCTGCTTCAACAGCTATTTAAGCCTACTATCTTTAATCCTCCATATTTCACTTTCAAATATTTAATTCATAACCGTCATGCATTCAAAAATAATAGTAAAAAATATTCACATAAAAAAAATACTATATCAATAAAATAAAATCAAGTAAAGATTAAGAATATTTGAATATCATAATAAGAATAAAATCAAGTAAAGATTAAGAATATTTGAATATGATAATAAGAATAAAATCAAGTAAAGATTAAGAATATTTGAATATGATAATAAGACGCTAACTTATTAGAGACAGTCGGACTGCCAGAGTACAAATTTTAAAAAGTTAAAAGAATTTTCTTTAATATTAATAAAGATAAAAAAGAAATTTATAATAAAAATCTCCTAAATAAAAAAACATATAATAAAAACGTAATACATAAAAAAATGAGATCAATGAAAAAACGAAATATATATATATATATATATATATATATATATATATATATATATATATATATATATATATATATATATATATATATATATATATATATATATATATATATATATATATATATATATATATATATATATAAAATCAAAATTTGTTTTTATTTATAGTTATATTTTTAATGTGTGTCATTTTTAATTTTTACAATTACATTTTTTAAAATATTTAGGTTCATTAAAAATTAAAAGAAAGTCTCTTAATGATTTGAATGATCTGAATAAAAATCTTAGATTCGAACACAATTTTAAATATATAGTATAGTTAGTTAAATTTTAAAAAATTATGAGACTCTTCGGCTCAAGTGATTATCACGATTAATTTTTTTTTATGTAGAGTTTTAGTGTCCGTTATGATTTTCTCCAAATCCAGTGATTAGTCTGGTAGTAAATATCCAATTTTCTATATAAAAATATAAAATCCAATAAGGGTAATATTGATAATATTGCAGATGATTCTTCTTGTCTATGTGCACATAAAAGCTCAACTTGGCATTACATTTTAGTGTAAGATGCTCATATTCTAACCTAATTTTGCGAATTAGTCCGTTCTTAAGTTGGATACCAAATTTAAAATAAAAATTATTTCTCACTTCATAAAAACTACTCAATTTAGGGATATTATTATATTTTTATTATGATATGCAGTTACATTATGTAACAAAGCACAAACTAATTCAAATATGTAATATCTGAATTAGAACAAACCAAGTGGTTTCATATTTTGTAATAGGACAATAGTTACATATTACATTTCAGTCCCCATGTGTGTACATGATTTTCCATCAGTTACTAGTGCAATTCTGCAGAATTATCTGCAAATATTGTTGACCATAAATTGGGAAATAATAAAAACCATACTATTAAAAATGATATTATACAGATATTAAACAAAATAAATCAAACTCTTGGCTAATTATCAAATTGACAATACTATTAGATTATGTTAGAATAAAACATTAAAATAACACCTAAAAGATTAATTAAAATCCCAAGTTACATAATTCATAATTAAAAAACTATATTACAATTAAGTACTAAACCCAAAACCAAAAAAATCCACCAAAAACCACAATTTCCACACCTAGATAATCCCATAGAGGCTATGAAATTGGAAGTATTGTTCATATTCATATCACTATTGAGAATCTCTTTTTTTGCATTAGATTTCACCAAATGAACCTCTTCTTGTTGGTGACATGGTTTCACCCCAAATGGAACATTGTTTGATGACATAACTCCAAGTGGAACACAAAGTTTTGGATTACTCCAAGCACCAAAACGTCTCCCCAATTTACCAAAAAACCCTTTTGAAAATTGAATCTCCCCTTTTAGATTATTTCCACTTAAGTAAAGTGCATTAAGAGAAGGAAGTGATTCCAGCTTTGGTGAAACTTTACCTGTAAGATTATTATCATTAAGTCCCAAAAATCTCAATTTCTTCAACTCAGATAATGACTCAGGAATTTCACCTCTCAATTCCATGTTAGAGAGTTCCAAAATCACCAAATTTTTCAGATTCTCCCATTTCAAAACTCTCATCTCACCACCTAATGGATTATTTGACAAAACCAATTCTTCCAAAGAATTCATCTCTTGCAAAGAATCTACCAATCCGCAACAAAATCTATTGTTCCTTAAGTCCATAAGTGTCAAATTCTTAAGACTTGAAAACTCATTAAGCAACTTTCCTTCAAGAAAATTATGACTAACATCAATCTTCAAAACCGAAATCATCTTTCCGAATGTCAAAGGCAATGTTCCGGATAACGAATTTCTACTTAAATCAAGGATTAACAAATCTCTTAACCCGCCGAAATTATCCGGAACATTGCCACTGAAATTGTTTCCCGAAAGAACGAGTCTCTTCAACTTCACAAGATTTCCAATTTCTAGTGGTATTCTACCGGTTAATCCATTTTCTAGTAAAACCATTGATTGAAGATTCTTGAGGACACCGAAAGACGAAGGAATGTTTCCGATAAGACCTGGATTGGATCGAAATTCAATCGATTCTAAGCTCTCAGATAATTTCTCCCAGTTTCCAGTAGGAATTGAAACTGGAAGACTATTTGGTGATTGAAAACAGTTGAAGAATGATAGAGCTTTTAGGTATTTTAGGTTAAATAATTCTGGTCTAAATTCCAATTTTTTATCAGAACATACCAGAGAATTATCATGAATAGGTCCAATGTTGAGAACTGTTACATACCAAAATCCATTGAAAATATCACAAGAAACTCCCTGCAGCAGAAAATAAAATAAATAATTAATAAAAAAAATCATGTTCTGACTTTTTTTTTTATAATCTCAATATTGAGCTGATAACTTTCTGAAAGTTCTGAAACATGGTTTAAATGACATGTAATCATTTAATGTGTGGCCAATAAAATTTCAGAAAAGAGAGAGATGAAGATAAGGACAAATCAATTACTTTAAAACAATTATAACATGCAAATGCTTAACACTTAACATAACAGTTGCAAAGACTAAAATAGTGATTCTGATTTTAGCACAGCATTATGGTACATTGGAAAAAAAGTACCTGAATAGGACTCCAGCCACAAGGATCTGGATAGAGAGATGAGCCATTCCATGAATCACCAACAAAGCCTTGAATGGTTGAGAACAAAGCTTGAAGTTCTTGTTTCTCCATTGGAGTAACATCAGAAGATTCTTCTTGTGCATAGAAAACTTCACTCATAGATAGAATAATAAACATGTGAAAAATCATACATTTAATAGACATCATCATGTTGTTTTATTGAGGCAAAAACAAGAGAATTGTTGTTAGCTATAAAATGATAGGAGCATAGTGAAGATAAGAGCAGAAGAAAATGGATTGTAGTATGAAGAAAGAAAGAAAGAAAGAACAAGATCCTGAAAATATGCTCCAGCTGAACAGGAGAAAAAAGGAAAATGAGAATGAAGGAAACAAAAAAGCTGAACAAGAAAGCCTGATAACCTGTGTTTTCTTCCTTGTGTTTAGGGAAAAAACTAAGGAAGCATGTTGTTGTGGAGTGTGTATATATATATATATATAAGAATAAGAATTATTTATATAAGAATAAGAAAGAAAGAAAGAACACAATATCTTGTTATCACAGTTCTCGAAGCTCAAAAGTCATAATAATAACAATGGCTTTAATATATGATCAGAACTCTGTGAGACCTATATTATGAATTGCAAATATAGGCTTTCCTTTTTCTGTACCTATATGCTATACAATTTCCACACCCTATCTGCATTTGTCTTACTGTATTGATTTTTATTAGAGGTTTAGTGTTTGGAATTATTGAGTAGCATAAGTCACAACTTTAGGAGGCTATTAAAGTGTAGTAATAATTGATTTTCATTACTAGGTTACTAGATTATGTTTATGAAAAGGATTAGTCACAAGTTTAGGTGCTATTATAACTAGTGTTAAAGGGTTGTAGGTAGTTGAAGAAATGAGTGGTTAAAGTGAAGGGTTTGGTGGAGGAGAGTGAGTTAGGTTGGGTATGGTATGGTATGGTAGAGAGGGGACCATTTTTCATGCAAGAGAGAGAGAGAGAGAGAGGGAAATGCATGCAAGACAAATGAGGCTTTTATCCGTTATTGTTTTTGACAGCACCGTTTAAGCTACAAAGGAAAAAGAAAGGACAATGCAGTGAATCACATTGCTATGTTTACAGTGTGTTACAGTTAGGTACAGAATTGGACCATGCTTTGTACTCAAATGAAACCCGTTTGGTCTATTTTATATCAAAATTTGTAGCCATAATAATATTATTTATTTGATGTCTATGTGGTTTTTGGAGTGTCAAGAACAATTATGCATGGTTATGAACATCTTGATCAGTGTATGCAGGAAATGTCTAATATAAATGAGGTAATGGTGAATGCCTCTAATGCTAATCATCTTGATTTGGAATTTCTTATGGTTAATTAAAATGTTAATGTTACTCATGGTTTAAAGAAGTTGTATCTCACTTTCCGAAAATCCGGAATAAAATTGATGGAATTTGTTGCACTATGTTTTTAGTATTTGAATTTTGCTATTTTTAAGTATATTTACTGCACTTACATTTCTGTTGTGTAGATCTTTAATAAACATTTCGAATATTTGTGAAAAGATCTCAAACTAAGTTGAAATCATCCTTATCAAACAATTTTCATACTATTTTAATGTGAAAGTTAAAATGAGGACGCAATGAGAGGTCTAACACATAATGAACGGAAAAAAATTAGAGGAAAAAAAATACAAGAAACAGCTAGTAGTGACGCGCTTTCAACGCATTGCAATGCTATCAAGTTTAAAAAGGCTTTTTTTTTTGCCTAAAATCTCCAATTTTGAAAATCAATTCGTAAGATATTCCACTGTGAAATAAAATTTTGAAAATACCTTTGTTCGTGAAAGGGATCGTCCATTCATTGGCCAAGAGTGTCCATGGAACTTTTTAAAAGAGAATTTTCATTTATTTATTGGACGAGGATGTACATCGATAGTGTACATTAAAATAAAATTAAAAATATTCAAACCCTAGTCCATGAATGGCCGAGGGTGTACATCGATAGTGTACATTAAAATAAAATTAAAAATATTTAAACCTTAGTCCATGAGTGGCCGAGGGTATACCTAAAAAAATACCTAAGGGATCCTCGATCAACGAATGGTCGAGTCTCTTCTTCAAGTAAGACATCTTGAAAAAAAAACTAAAACTGAGGTAGATTGAGAATTTTATTTTAAAAAGAGGGCAAGGCAAGCAAAAAGTATGTAAAAAGAGCCAAAACGACAAACTCAAAAGCCAGCAACGCGATCCAAACAATACTCTTCTAGATTTGCAAAGAAAACAATCTTCAAATCGCCACACAATAAAGTGTAGGAGCGACGTGATCTTTTGTTTTTGAGATTGTTTTCAATAAATTGAGAAACATGTTTAGTTATTAGGATTTCAGTTTTTAGTGGGTCTAAGGCATATTTTTGTAAAAATAAGATGGGAAATGAAGGATGTCGTCGTTAGGAGATTATTTCTAATTGTTGTAAGTCTTTATTTTTTATTTTCTATTGTTAAAACCATGAATCACTTAATAATGACTGGTTAGTTATAGAGATTAGATTCCATTTAGATGATTATGTCTAAACATGTGATCTTTGTAATTTTTCATGATTGTTTGTTTATGTAATGTATCTTTATTTTATAATTATATAATTTTATTTGAGTTTAATGTTTTCACTCATCTACAGAATTAGAAAAATTGGTGTAATTAAAACCTGAGACCTGACAAAGAGATTTGCAAATCCGATTAATAAAATTATGAGATTATTTGTAATGATTACTCGAGTCTCAAGGAGAATATTGTCAACTATTTGTCTAATTTTACGTGCTATAAAACTTTTTCAAGTTACTATTGAATATTCCTAGTATCTGGGAGGTTGATTCAGAACACAGATTGTTTTGTTATTGGATACATGGCTCAACTACGTGGGTTTTCTTTTTATGTAATCCATATAGAAGATTATGTTGCAAGGTTGTAAACTCTTATTTTGTAAACAATGACAACCAATTCTTATCACATTAAGCGAGGATCAAATTATATCATAATTCTATTCAAGAGCATATGTTTTTATTTAATTTATTAATTTAAAGATATTTCTTTATATTTTTCTTATAATCTTTTTAAGTCTTCTGATTCTTCTAATGTTTTACTTCTCTCCAACTAATCTAATCTCCTTATAACAGAATCTACAAAGCGTTTTGTAAAACATATTCTAATTTATGCGTTATAAAACTTTTATTAGATACTCACAAAGTAAATTGTTATGATTGATACTCACACCACCTCTAAAATTGTAAAGTTGTAAAATCGTGTTTTTGTAAAAAATTATATAATTAAAACAAAAATATTATAGGTTTCATTCATATTATTTTTCATATATAGGAATAAGATGGTTCAAAAGAAATACTTAGTCGTCTTTATTATCATATTTGTTAATCTGTTAGTTAGCTCTTTAATTTTACAATTAGGTACACAATCTTAGAACCATGGCAAGTAAAAAAAACTCAATGCAATTTTAACACTCATGATATGAAAATACTCACCAAACTTTAGAAGAAGAAATAAGAAAGACTCAATGCATAAAAATAAATAAATAAATAAATAATAAAAATAAAAAATAAAAACAGCAAAAGCCTCTGAAAGTTGAGTACTACAACATCTAGGTTAGGAGTGTTTTTAAATTATTGATAGTTTTTTTCTCATATCTTTTTCTTTTTTATGTTTCCAATTTCTTTTTTCTGTTATTGCATTTTAAATTTATAAATATTATGCTGCTCGCTTTAAATTATGAAAAATATCGAAGGTCATCCGTGATTGAATAAGTGTCTGTAGCAGGACCAGGATATGGTCATTATTTTGTGGGGTTGACTTGCCAAAGAAAATATAACTTATCCCCAAAAATAATTATTCCAAATTAGCTATGACAAGTTTTCTCGATCAAATAATCTAGAGATTAGAATTAATCTTAAAAAAAAAAATGATATGTTGCAAATTCCAATTCACATTCATGCAATTGATATCGATGTACAATTGAGCTAGTGTAACATGACAGTTATGATAATCTTTTAAAAAGTAATTTAAATTAGTAAAATTTCAAATATTCATTAGAAGTGGTTCAAATGTAGTGAAACAGAAGAAAATATAATGAATGTGGTGGAATGGAAAAATAGGACTTTAATTTTTTTTTTTGTTGATATTTTATTGTATAAAGCTCGAATCAAGTAAAATAAAACTCAGTAATTTAATTATAACCTAAAACAAATTTTATTAAAAATATTTACAAATTATTTACAGACAAAATCTTCATGCATTTAAGAGAAACTAAATTTAAATACAAATCAATTTTAATTGTCTAGTGACTATACTTTATATTTATATGTTATGATAAAAAAAGCTAGACATGTTTAATGTAATTTTAGATCATATATAGATATGTGAAATTGACATACATAATGTGTGGGTGTAGGTAGGAGCATGTAGGGTGGACTCATTTTTAAGGGGAGACCCACTATTTATTTTTATTTTTATTTTTTTAAAATGTTTTAGTTTTAGTGGTTCAAGCTAGATATTTTTACAATTGGTTTAAGAATTGTTTGATCAAACCCAACGCAACAAACAGAAAAAGAAAAAATAAAATTAAACTGTTTGTTTTTGTTGTTATAAGAGAAAAGGAGAAAATTGATTGATGAATATATAGTAGATTTTATCAGTTTGAAGTACAAATTAGTATATTATTCATATCACTTAGTTTATTGTATTTATATTATTTTAAAATAGTTTTATAGTTGTTTTGATATATATACGTATTTTATAGAAATGATGTTTGAGTGTGCTTTTCTACTTTGATTTTTTTATCTGTGTGTATTCATTTATCATGTAATGTAAGAAAGTAGTATGCTTTAGAAAAGACCATACTACTTTTTTTTTAATTGGCCAAAACCCACTATTTGGATGGTATTCATGTAATATGCATGTTTATATCAATCTCCTTAGTTTGTAATTAATTCGGTTTGTCTCTCTTCATACACAAAACCAAATGCATGGAAGTTTATTATTTTAAACCATACCATCTCTTCATACTTACTGCATTTTTCAAAAAGCAAACATCATGTCACAAAGCCTACTCATGATGTAGCTAGCTTCTTTGAGATTTTCTTTTGCTGCTCAGATCCTCTTCTTTCATCTTTTCATTCGTTTCTCGGTTTTCTTATTCC